AGCGGCGCGTCCCGCGCCCCGTCCCAAACTTGGGTCCACATCTCTTGACAGCGTTCGGCTTCACACCCAGGGGTGTACGGCCCGGGAAACAAATACCTGCTTCCCTGGGCTTTAAATTTGTCTCCTCATTATTTTATTAGGTGCCTGTATTGCGTTAATTTTCATCATACAGGTGTGATTCGTCACAAAGTCCACCCTAAAAATCTCGATGTTCACAGGTTTCTGTCATACCTCCTTTTGTTGTTTGTGTTCCGCGGTAAAATACGTTGCTGTTTCTGATCTCACTGTGTGCTTTTTGTCATCCCTCTTGCTCTTTTCTTTAGGCTTTTCCTATATGCCTTTTTCTGAGAACACATCTGTATGCAAGATGCAGGCATGCAGTAGACTTACGGTGCTTCATAGCTATTCCTAGCTTGGCCTACGTATTTTCCCTCATAATTCCTCTTTGCTTTTCTGATCACCACAGCAAGCACAGAGCCGAGATGCGGAGAGCTAAATGTGAACTGGTCTTGGGCAGGGACTGGTCTTTCCACCTTCCCAATGCATGCCACTCCCTTAAATGCATGTTCGGAGCAAGGCCTTGCAGGTCCTAGCCTGTGGGGGCCAAAGAGGGGAGCAGGAGAAAGAGCCACCACCAGAACAGCACAGCCTTATTGTGGAGGGGAGAGCAACAACTGGGAGCGCAGCATGTTGGAAATGGACTTCAGCTGAAGGTTTGGAAGTCCAGTGTTTTGCTTTAAGACCAAGCTGACAGTGCAGAGACTAAATGAACTCAGATACCAAAACACTTTAATCACAGATATGTGTGTTTTCTGTGAATTATGTGAATTCTTCATTTGGTGGGAGAGAGGTTGTGGCTGGAGTGGAAAGTCAGGCCGGTCAGTGTAGTGGTTCCTCGCACCGCCTCCCTGTTCTCCAAGAGAGGGGACCTGATCCTGGGGAAAAGCTGGGTGGATTAATGTAGTGGTTCTCGCTGTGCTTTCTGTCATCCTGGTGCAGCACTGTGGGGTCCAGGGGGGCGATCTCACTTACTCCTGAAGCCTTTCCTCATGTCCCTCCACTTACAGAATCAGGTGGAGGTTACCCAGTTCTGTTGGCTGTTCAGCTTCACTCAGGCTTCTGTCACTGGCACTCACAATGTTTCTCTGGAAGGTTCTCTGCAGCTCACAACTTTCACAGTGATAAATACGCTGTTCACACTTCGAGTACTTCTCTGTTGTTATAACTAGGCTTTCTTCTTCTCCTGCAGGGTGAACTAAGGTTCATATGCTTACACTATTGCCAACGAGACCCAGGCCCTGCCAGCTGCCACCGCTGGTTTGACCAGTCCCGCCTGCCTTCAGCAAAGCCCTGAGCTGATATTTTCAGTGATCTACGCTGATGCCAAAATCTCTTTCGAAACTGGCAGTGGTCAATTTTAAAGTTCATTTTTGTTTAGGGATGCTTACTTTTCCCCCTTTGTAGTTGTTGGCATTTAATTCCTGTATCTGAGGAGCTTGAATAATTCTGTGTTGCACATTTTTTTACCTCGCTATTTACCTGTTTTGCTAGATTATTATGGATGTGTTGAGCCCAGCAGAGAACCCTAATTTATTCCCTCTCTTTTGGTTCCTGGAATAAATTTATTTTGCCTGATGTCTTGCTGATGCTGAATGGGTGGGGAAAAGGAGTGGGAGAGAGCAGGGTCAGGCAAGTGCTCAGGCAAGGTGCACATTGTGAGTTCAGGCCTGGTCCCTGACAGCTAGAGAAACCCAGCCTGCTACAGGTTTGTTTTCTCACACGATAACATTTTACTGAACCTCTTTTTTTGGGTGGGGAAACGGTGAGTTTTACAGTGCTTCCTGCTGTACCCTTCTTTACGCTTGTCACTCTTACCCTCTGCAGAGCTGTAGGGAAGACCTGCTTGCTGATCAGCTACACCACAAATGCCTTTCCAGGAGAATACATCCCCACTGTGTGAGTAATGGCCTTGGGCTTCAGCTGCTTTTTGCTCTGTATGCATGTGTCTTGTAAAGGTTGGTTTTGTAGGTATGGAGAAAGCTGTCCCAAATCAGACTGTGAACTTCACACACGAGGAGGGTGCCGGTGGTACGGATGTGTGTGTAAGGAGGGCAGACTGTCCCCACTGTAACTGTGTTGCAGCGACCTCTCCTGATTCACTGCCCCCTTGGACTTCGTATAAAGAGATGTGTGGGTTCCAACAAGATCATCACTGATGGGGACTCTTCCTTGGCAGGTTTGATAACTATTCTGCCAATGTCATGGTAGATGGAAAGCCAGTGAACCTGGGCCTCTGGGATACAGCAGGGCAAGAGGATTATGACCGACTGCGGCCTCTTTCCTATCCACAGACGGTGAGTGCCGGGCTGGGACTGGCTTGTCACTGCTCCCTCTCAGGGACAGGGAGGCTCCCAAGGACAGCCAGGCTTTCCTTTGAGGAAAGTCTAAGTTCCTGCAGCTGTAACCGTAACGCTGGTAAGAAGTATCACAGCTGAATTTCTCCTGAGAGATTGTCCTGTTCTAGTCCCTGCCTTGTAATGGTGTTTGTACAGTTAGGTATGCTGTAGGGAGGCTCAAGTGAAAGGAATGGTGTGGGGCTGCCGTGCAGCCGAGCCACGTTCCTTTTTCCCACTCTCTCTCAGTGGGACAGCTCACTGTTGGGCTGCAGCAGGAGTGTTTCCCTGGCTGTAGCAATTCCTGCGTGGCCCTTACCAGGGATGAAGCCTGTAACACTGTTGAGGTGTTTGTGGCTGCAGGCTTTTAACATGCAGAGCCCAGTGTTGTAAAAGAGGATGAAGTCATACACTCACAGTCCATTCCTTCCCTCTCTGAGTTAGTTTAGCACCCTTAATGGGGACAAATTTCTTACAGTCACAGTCCTTCCTTGTGGAAGGAGGTTGTCTGCTGTAAGGCTCCCTCTCCACCCTTCCTCCGTTCTCTTTAGCTGTTTCTTTCTGTGCGGCTGACCCTCTTGTTTCCACACAGGATGTTTTCTTGATCTGCTTCTCCCTTGTGAGTCCAGCCTCCTTTGAGAATGTCAGAGCCAAGGTAAAGTATTCTCCTTCGGGGTGAAACAGTGAAGGGAGGAACCAGTGAAGTCCCCTGCTCCGTCCAGCACCACACCTACAAGCCCAAAATTTCTAGCCATCGTGTTTTGATAAAGGAAGGTTGTAGTGTGCAGGTTTTAAGAGGGGTCTACTTTTTATTCATTACTTCTTTCGCTAAGTTTTTTTGCCGTTCTGAATTTGCATCTTAAACGAGATAAGGGATGTCCTAGAAGCTAAAATGCACTTAAGGGGAGCGCTGTGTGCAGAGTTGGCTGGCACTGTCACGATTCCATGTCTCAGTGCCTTCGTTATTACACCTGCACCTATCCCTTTCTGCAGAGCATATTCAGAACTGTAGGCAGAAGTACCCTGTTCAGGTGTTGCCACCATGTCAGACAGTAGTAAAAGCCTTGTTCCTAATAGTAAATGCATCCTTATGATTGCATCTACTGCTATAGCTACTTTTCTTATCATGACTCTCTGTTTCAGTGGTATCCTGAGGTCCGACACCATTGCCCAAATACACCGATCATCCTGGTGGGCACCAAGCTGGACTTGAGGGATGATAAGGACACCATTGAAAGGTTACGTGATAAGAAACTGGCCCCCATCACCTACCCCCAAGGTTTGGCCATGGCTCGGGAGATCGGTGAGTCTCGTGTGCTGGCAGACCTCCATGGCACTGAGCTTTTTATTTTGGAGTGGGTAAGGGACAGTACGTCCTGGTAGGACTGGAGTGGTTGAGCCGGAGCTCTCTTTCCCCTAGGGTCGGTAAAGTACCTCGAGTGCTCTGCCCTGACGCAACGGGGCTTGAAGACGGTGTTTGATGAAGCCATCCGGGCTGTGCTCTGCCCACCACCCGTGAAGAAGCCCGGCAAAAAGTGTACCGTGTTTTGAGGGCTGTGGCCTAGGTGCTGGCTCAGCATGTTGTCATCCTCTGACAGATTGCATATTAGCTGGGTGTTTCTGGAGGGGGCTGGGATGTGTAGGGCCCTTCATCATGTACGAAGTCAGTGTTTTTTAAATGTCTCTTTGATTTAACGTCAGTGTTGATGTGAAGGGGCAGCGGGGGCAGGAGACTAGCTGGGGGCTGTACAGCCCCCAGGGGAAGTACAATGGGGAAGGCAAGGTAGCTCCTCGGGGTAACAGGCTGTTTTGGCTCTCCTGAACTCCACGCTGAAAGGGCTGAGACATCCATCCTGACCTGGAAACCCCAGGTGGTGAAGATCCTTGGGGAGTGGGGAGGGAGCTGATATGAATGGTGCTGAATGACAAGAGCAGCTGGGAGAGCGGTAGCATCTCCTTGCCCAGCATGCTGTGGCTAACAGTTAACAAATTGGTGCTCTAGCAGATACGTGCCTGAGACTGTTAAATCATAACCAGCCCTGGAAGGGGTTGAAGTAAATGAGGTATGAAGCTCAAGAACTAATCATTAGGTGCTTTATTGGGTACTAGCCAAACTCAGTGAGTGAAACAGCTCTGTGCAATCGATGTATTTGCCTTTTCGTGTGTGCACACCCTAGGACAGCGTGGTGCTGCTCCCCCCATCAGTCTTTAGCAGGGCCTCCCCCCCCAGATCCAGTCTCTGCAGAGCAGGGCTGTGGTTGTTGCCTCTGTTTTGTTTTTTTCTACTAAAGACGGCAAAGGAAGCAATGAGGAGTCTGCTAACTTCTTCTTTCCCTTCCCACTGAAAGTACAGGCAGGCTCTATGGATTTGGATGGAACAGGGAGAGCTTCTGAAGGGTTGTGGGGGGGGAACGGGGTTGGAAGAAAGAGAAGTCCAATTTCTAATCATCATGTAGAGTGACAAGATAAAACCTTATTTGGTGCAATAAACATTCTCCATGACGGCGTATGTGAGCTTTATTATATAGCAGCCTTCTAAAGGTAAATTTTCTGCCTCGCTTCTCATACAGGTTCCAGCCCTGCTGCTCCCTTCTCCAGCAAGACTGGGTCTGTGTCATTTTTTTTCTATCCAGTTTACATCTATGCAGTACTAGTATGAAAATTAAGGCCATGTGTGAAATGGCAGGTGTCATCTTAGGAGACAAGAAATCCCCCATCAACCATCAGTGAGCTGCCAGTTGTCATAGCACTCTTATCACTCAGCAGGAAGAGAATGCTGTTCACCACATCGTCCACCTCTGGAATCAAACACAGAGAACATCCAATGCACCCCTCAAATTGTATTAGAAAAATAAGCATCCCAAAAGGTATGTTTTTGACCTCTACGTGTAATTGGAGCAGGGAAATATCTCCAACCCCAAACTGACAGGACAGTGTGGCTGAGAGCTGGACATCAAAAAGTCCATGTTGTGATCAAATGATACTTAGTTCACAGCAAGAACCTACGGTCCCCTCCCAGTCATGTTTATGAATAGAGTAAGTGCATTTCACTTGTCCTAGGATGAGAAGGCTGTAGAAGAGGGGAGATAAGGTTGATTCTTGCCCTGTCCTCATCAAATGCTTCAGGAGTTCAACCACAGCCATTCAGCAGAGTTGTGACTGTGCCCACAAAAGAAGCAGGGTACCTCAGGCTGTGATGTCCGATTAGAGGGAAGGCTTGGATACAACAGGAAAGCCCAGCTTGGCAACAAATGTACACCACTGACCTGCAAACTTTCCCAGCGGAATCCGATTAATCATGGCAGCAGATTTCTGAGGGTCACTCCAGTTAATTCTCCCCATGTCGGTCATAACCACTGTGGGGTTCACAGTATTCACCCTAATCTGGGACCAAGAGCAACAATCAATCTAACCAGACTGCTCTGAGAGGAAACGCTTAGGATCAGCTTTCATACTTTTCTTTCTCTCAGAAAGAATCCTACCTTGTGGGGTCCCAGTTCCATTGCCATTACCTTGCTCAGCATATCCAAAGCACTTTTTGTGGAACCTTCAAGAGAGGGGAAAAACAGGAAGCATTTAAGTGCATAGCACTTGGTCGGGAACACACAGCAGTATTTCGGTGCCCAAGACTAGCAGCCAGCAGCTTGATGGCTGTGGGTCTCCAGCTAATAAAAACTGAGAGGGGCACTGCTAAAGCTAGACATACTTACAGTAAACAGCATGATCCCGCAGAGCACGCTGAGATGCCTGGCTAGAGACATTTACGATAGCACCTGGCACCCCCTGTGCAATCATCTGCCGAGCAACAATCTGGGGGAGGGAAGGAAAGAAAAAAAAAGGAAAAAAAAAAAAAAGGATGCCAGAATCGTAACAGAAGAAACCCTTATTTCATTCAGTAGGAATCTTGCTGGGCTATTACAGGAGCCAAAAGACCAAAAACATCCGGAGGAAGTAAGTCCTCACTGCTTCCCGCTCACAAGAGAGAGAGTCAAAGCAAGAGAGTGAGTGAAGGGGGCAAATTGTCAGGTCAACTTCGAATTACAGTCCCTTTAGCCCCCACAGTGGACACTTATTTCCACTCTGCAGAATAATTTAGCCACTGCTGTTCAAGGAGACAACTGCGATGACAGTTCTTCCTCACCTGGGAAACATGAAGCGCAGCCTGAAGATTCACATCAAAAGACCTACAAATAAATCAAATTTAAAAGTTACAGAGAGGGTGCAGCCAGTATCTTGGAAACACTGGTGGTACCCTGGAACAGGTACAGAAATGCCAAGCTGACAGACTAGCAAGAATGGTTAGGTGTGCTTTCAGCAATAAACCGTTGATCGGATGTAAGCTATTTAGGGTGCAGGGGGGAGGTGCACTCGAGGATCCTCCCGTTTCTAGCAGGACTCTGAGCTTCAGCAGACTAATGCAGTTCCTCTATTAACGTGTAAACAGTGAGCCCTGGGCCTCAGCCAGGGACTCTTCTTAGGTCAAACAAACCCTTCAGAAGGCTTTAAAATAGCAAATAAATCTGCTGTAAGATGTGTAGAAGCAGCTTTTCTTCTCTTTGCCACATAGTCCTTCCTTGGTCAGGTTTTTACTTGCTCGTTCTGCAGAATGGTCTTAGTAGAATCCATACATTTTATATCCTGGTCACAAACAAATCCTGTATTACAGACCCACAACAGCCATGCTTAATGCAGGGACAAAGCACGACCCATCTTCTCGGAAGGAAGGAGACTCGCCACGTCCTGTATCCTAACGCTTACCCCCGACTGTAGCTATGGATCTTTTGAGAAAAAAGATGTCATGTTATTGCAGTAAGCACATTTAGTTTCCCACTGTGACAGTTTTATCCTCCCTTAACCTGGCTTTGCCTTGTCTTTACGTGAATTCTCTCACCCACAACTGCCTTTCAATTCACCAGAGACTGAGCTGGAGCTACGCGGGGAGCTCTGAGCGCAACGGGTGGCGGAAAGCGCTCCCCTCGTGCAGACCGAGAGGTGAGGGGGGAGCGCCGGAGTCGCGCTTGGTTCCGGCGGTGTTTGCGGGGTGAAAGGTCATTCCGTAAAGTATTAAAACACGGCCCAGAGCAGACGGGGACGCGCGCAGTAACGACGCGGATCCCACCCCGAGTGAGTGTGAGTGCGTGCGCGCGCGTCTGTCTCTGTCCCTGTCCCTGTCCCTGTCCCTGTCCCTGTCCCTGTCCCTGTCCCTGTCTCTGTCCCTGTCTCTGTCCCTGTCTCTGTCCCTGTCCCTGTCCCTGTCCCTGTCCCTGTCCCTGTCCCTGTCCCTGTCCCTGTCCCTGTCCCTGTCCCTGTCCCTGTCCCTGTCCCTGTCCCTGTCCCTGTCCCTGTCCCTGTCCCTGTC